ACTGCATATTGTCTTTGTAGTTTTTGTAGTCAACAAGTTGGTCGATTCCCAAATCGGGAAATTTCATTGAGGAGGCGAAGATCATCGACTCCTGATCGGCGAAGTAGATCACTGTGGAATGAACGAACTCTTCAAACTTGCACATTTATATGATCATCAATTACAAGCTAAATTTCAAACTTACAAAAGATTATCAATGATCCTGGATTGCTTGGGATCACATCCAAGATCCGTATCCTCCAACTTCAAATTAAGGAATAGCTACCATCATCACCCTTTAATTCTTGGCCTTTTCATTCACCGGCTCTCTTTAATGACTGGTGGTCTTTAATATTAACATCGATGAGCTCTTTAGATCTATCTTTCGCTACTCATAATTTGAATGCCAATGTTATACAAGGAGGTCTCAAACATATCCTAGAATTGATCAATCCTTTTGAATATCGAAAATTTTCCAATCATTTTCGTCGTATAGGATTACTATTCTTGTCACAACTTACGACTTCAAATGGAAACTTTTTACTTCTGTTTCGTGATCTTTCTCAGAACATTAGTACCTTCAAGTTCAAAAAACGTCTAAAATGGTTCAACCTTATTGAATCAATAGTCCTTGCTGAATCCCAATCACGCACCATACATCCGACCTTACAAATAGAGCACCTAAGTTAAGTTCAACGAGCTATTCCTTTAGTAGACTCAAAAAAAGTCACTTATATTACGCTATGGTCTCCTTATTTGAATAGCTCAACAGGGGAAAATATTCTTTTTATTGAACAGGATACCGTACATATTCAGCATTATACTATGATGATTGATGATCAGTTTTGTTCTATTTTAGATCCTTGCTTCGGCTGCCCTCTTAACGACCCATCTACAAGGTCACAAAGAAAAATGTTGTGGAGACAATCATTGTGTTGCTTTAAAAATCCGCTGCATTTGTGTTCAGTGATCTCTATAAAAGCTGAAAATCATATTGGGCATCTTTGTCCTTTGTCCCCTCTTATGTTACATGAACTTACATTAAATTCACTTAATCCTACCAATAACTTCCTTCTGCTTCCACAGAACATAGACTTTCCTCACTATAATTATATCTTTGACAACGAATCTATGACACAACTTACTAACTTAGCTTGTAACTTTTCCAATGCAACTTCCTTATCCTTCTATACAGATGGCTCTCTCAAAGATCTTGGTCTCTCATCTCTCCAGATGGGTTTAGCCTAGTTGCAAACTGACCCACAATGGCCTTCGACTTCATTTCACTCTTCCTTTTATTTACATAACCCATTCTCTCTCTTAGCTGAATTATTAGCAATAATATTCACTACTTTTGTTACTCCTTCACATTCAACCATCCGCATTTTCACTGATTCTCTCTCTATTATTAACATATTCCACAAACTTCATTTCTTCCTTACCACTTCCTCCTCACGCAATCCCATTTACAAATACCATCACTACCCTCTTTGGTTATACTTTTTCGAACTACTACATACTAAAAACATCACTATATATATGAACAAAGTAAAAGCACATGCTGACGACCCCTTCAATAATATAGTAGATCAGCTAGCAAAATCAAATGGACCTACTTTAACCTTCAATTTTAATGCCTTCAACTCCACCATGATCCTACGTTTCAATAACATGCCTGTCTTCCTTCCAACATATCATTTTATCAAAAGCCTCTTTCAAGCAAAACGCTTTAACAATGTCTTACTCTTACCACACTTCACAAAATATCATCTACTAAAGGTTGATTGGATTGTTACCTTTCAAGTACTGCATGATAATGAAGCCAAATCTGCTACATCTTTCCGTGCCTCCTTCACCAAAAAACAGAAAATTAAATTCATTTTAGAAATGCTTCTGTCCTTAGAAGTTTTAAAAAAAAGGAGCCCATCATTATACAAACAAAACTGGACGTGCTGTAGATGTCAACTTGATTATATCACTACTCAATGACAATTCAACTAACTCTTAAAGTACAATTCATCAGATAATGACATCTTCCTTTTAGAATCCTGATCATAATCCAAATGACTTCTATTTCATAGACCTCATTAAAGACATAGTACCTTTGGACTTATCTAATTTAATACAGATCATTACAAATGACAAGGATATTATCATGTCACTTTTGTCACACATTTACCATCACATTTTTATGTCAGTTTCAAAAATCTGGGCCGATAGATGCGAAATTTTTGCCAAAGCAGAAAAGATAGCCAATATCACTTTACAAAACAAAAAGAACAATTGGATCACAAGTGGCTTCTCTTACTCTACACTTCCCTCCACACATATTCCTTCATCCCTTATTTCTTCCTTTAGGTATGGTAACGACTGGTCAAATTTTTGGACAGGTAGCAACCACGCTCTTCCATCTGGATGGTTAAGTTTCCTTCTCTTTTGATTGGGTTATTAGCCTAGAACGGTGCAGGGTTGACTTTGATTTATTTTAACTAGTTTAGGATATTTAGAAGTTTTTGTATTTTCTTTTCTTGTCTTGTATTTTATTTATATTTTACTTGCTTTAAATAAAGATCATGCGAAGCTACCGCACTTAAAAAAAAAAAAAACAATTTATAGTCTCAGAACCCACTTTTAATAGCAAAGCTCCTATATATCAAATTTTTGATCTTAAATTAATACAAATATTTTTGATTTTACTTAAAAAATATTAAAAAATATCTTTCAAATTATTTTTAACAAGTAACATTCCATTTAAATTTGCAATTATGTAAATTAGCTTAAGCTTGCAAAACTTAATAATTAGATAAAAAAATGATTTAAGGCTTTTTTTTTATAAAACCTTGTCAAGCCAAATTTACTATATATATATATAAATAAATATTTGTTTCCTAATTATGAATTAATTATGCTGCTGATGCATAACACCAAAATACTTTATTATGGTAATTTTTTTTTTTTTGAACACAGCATGTATTAAAAGCACCACTTTAGCAAAAATGACCACACTCGTAGCTAAAAACTATATCGTAAAGACACCGAATAACCTAAATAAGATTATCAATCAATTACTATCATATCATATTTAAAGTAATTAAGTTATATAACAATATTAATTTTTAACCATAAGATAATTTATATAACAATCCAGTTCATAAGGGTGGCAAAAGCAAAATAGAACCACAGATTGGATCATCAAGCAATAGAGTTTGCAAGCTTTTGCAATTTCTGGTTAGCATTCAATGAATGGATAACTCATCACGAAAAGAAAAGATGGCCTCAAGAAGATTATACAAGCTGTATAAGTCCAATACTCTTGTTGGCAAAGAGAACCGAGATATTGTTTTTCTGCAATGTAGTCCACGGCCAACGATGAATGCTGTTGATATGGAACGATCGATTGTATCCTATAAATAGTAAAATTATAGGTTAAAGATTTCCAAAGCATAAAAGCACAAATGAAACGGAAAGGGCAAAATTTACCTTCGGTTTGGAAATCAACCACTTTGAGTTCCTTAGCAAGCTTAATATCGCATGTTTTATAATCTTCAAGATGGTTGTTGAGTGCGTCAACCATGCACTGACCAAGCTTTGTTTATCTCCCCCTGCACTTTTTCTGCGAAGGTTCGACATCAGAATCCTCTGCATCTATTTCCTCATAACTCCTCTTAAAGGTAACGACTTCCAAAGGAGCAGACGGGGTCGCAGTCACATTCTCGCTGGGAGGCAAAATAAACTTTTGAAGTAACTCGGAGTGACCGAGTTCTTCGACGATCTTCTGGGCGTCTTCATATGGAACCCTATCATTATAAAAATGTTATATGATATTCACTTTAAAATATTCAATCTAATTCAAAGAACTTACCAGTCACCCTGAAAAGTTGCATAACCTCCCTGTAAGGATGCAGCACGGAAATCGTTTTCTTCGAAGTCGCTCTGAGATGTTTTACAAACTTTCTTTTTTATCGCTCTCAGATTGTTGTTATTGTTATCGTCCGAAGTATGGTTCTCAATGTAACGCCAGACTGAGTTTAAGTGCACATATCCGGTACTGGTGCTCCATCTTAGGAATGGTTTGTACCATACTTCACTAATGGTTGACTTTTCGTTTTTTTTGCGTTTCATCGAAACGCTGAAAGCTAAAAAATTAACGAAAATCTAGGTGAGAAACTTGTGGAAAATTTTTTTGGACATATTCAACTTAAAATTATAGGTAATCTAACTTATGAAAATTGATAACGCATTGAATAAAATAATATATTTAAATTAAACAATATTAACGATATTGAAAATTTTTATAAAGTTTGAAATTAATTTACTCGTTTACAAATTAAGGCAGATGATATTTTATTAAGAAATTTTTAAAATAGATAATTTTTTTTCTCCTTTTTTTTCTATTATATAACTCTATACGTAGTTCTTTTATAAATGAAATTCTATTTACCTCTTCCAGCGGTGGGCTGTTCCTCGCCTACTTCAAATTTCTCTTTATCAATACCGGGAAGAGGGAGCCACTCCATGTCGCTTTCTGCAAAAATTATCGCCTGCATTCTTTCGTTATGTTCTTTCTTGTCTCCAGCATGGGTTGCAGGCGTTGCAGGTATAACCACTTTAGCCTTTCCTTTGTTATTGTTGTTGGTAATCGTCATCATCGTCGCCATTGAAGTTGCTTTTTTTTCTCGTCGATTTGCAGCATCACCACGATTCTTAGTCTATTCCAAAGAAAAGTTTTCTCATAAACTTAAGTATTTATAAAATAATTATAATGAATCTAATATATCATTCAAATTACCTCTTTGGCTTTCCCTTTTTCTTTAGGTTGTTTTCGCAACGGCCATTCAAGGTTATATAAACTAAAATGTCGCGAGCACCTTGGACATTTATAAGAAGTTGTATCCATCGGAAGTGGCGCAAATTTGTCATGACATACTCGGCAATATCTTTTCACATTATGCTTTTCATTATGCTTTTCATTGTGCTTTTCATTGAAATTTGAAGGTGGTTTTTGACTATTTTCATTACGCGATGAAGTCAAAATGCCATTTTGACAAGACAAATCACCGCTACATAAATAAGCAATTGACATTCGCGAAGTATTACTATTAGAGACTCGCGATCTGTTTTCTGTCCCATTATATGCGTTTGATAGACCACGCCACGAAGCTTTATTCTCTGGTAATAAAAATTGTCGGGATGTCTCTATCCCCCAAGAAATTCTAAGTTTTGGATTAGCCGATAACCTTACACCCGATTCTGGATCAAGTGAATTTATCGGCCGAGGTTTAGTAAATCCCGTTATCTCACAGACAGATGGCGATTTCGATGCTATACACTGCCTACTAAATCCAAGATTTTTATTTTGGTTAGCCACAATATACCTTGGTGTAGTAGTATTTTCTCCATGATTGTGGATATTGGTTCCAGTAGTATGCATTGATTCAGATTCGTGCAGATTAAAAACTGGATTCGATTTATTATTACTTGCATCAATATTCGTAAATGATCGTCTGTTATCATTGGATGATCGAGGAAATTTTGATAACATAGGATTAATACCACGACTTATATGAAGATCGAAATTTGGCGCTGTTCTTGACGATTGTTCACTTATTACATTAGATTGAATCGAAAGTCCGGTTGTAATATCCTGGTTTGCCCTAGAATCTGTTAAAGTAGAATGTAATAAAATTTCAGGTTCTCTGCTAGGTCGCTGAGATGACGTAGAACTGCTATCTCGGCTTTCTATGTTTGATGTATTAGAAATATTTGATGGTTGATAATTGTTTCCTTGAATTACTGTAGTTGATGATAAATTAATTCTTGATTGATCGCTCGAATAAGTAACAGTTTGGGTTGTTTTGCTAGAAGGGTTCATCATCGCTTCAAAAGACGTATTAGGGCGCATACGAGTTGCCGAGAACATTGCTCTAAAACTCATAGGTTCCAAAAATGTTCGTTTTCTCGTATTAGATGACGAATTTACAGGACGACCATTTCTGCCATCTATCCTGATAGTGGAGGTAGTACGTCCTGGAGAATTAGTATTAACGGTAGGTTGTATGCTAGTAGAAACGGGACGTTCAAGTGGAATGCGATCGTAAACGTTCATTTGTGTTCGCATGGAAGTGACACGATCATTCGCAGTAGTATCAATATCAATACCCATTGGTGTTGGTGACAAGGATTCTGTCTGTTGAGCAGAAATTGTATCAGAAGTGTTTTGCAATTGTAAATTAACTTGATTTAAATTCCTTACAAAGCCACCCTTCTTTCTCTTAGAAAATGCATCAGCCAAGCTTGAATTTTCTACTAAGTCTTCGTCGTCGGTAATCTCCATAGTTTTGATATTAACGCGAGCGGGTTTACATTTACTTTTGCTAGTGTTATTAACTAATTAAATAGATATAAAAAAAATATATGTTATTAAGATTATAAATTATTTATAAACTATGATTTATATTATATATACGTACAATGAATAGATTTGTTCCGACGCATGCTGCGCCTCACAAGCCTGCCATCGTTATATACAAAAGGCCTTAAACCTTCATAGGCTGTGTCTTCCTCAGTATCATCTCTGACCTTCTTGAAGCCACCAGTTTGTTTCTGTTCACAAGTAACACAAAGGCATTCTTCATTGCCTTGGCCGAAATAATTTTCGCCATAATGAGCCGTTAGCTCTTCGCCTACTGCCACATCTCTGAGTAATTTAAAAGAGATCGTGTTTTGCCCAGTCGCAATAAAATGTGTATTTGGATTACAATCATGCTAAATATAATAAAAAACATTAGAACCGTAAATAAACGAGTTATTTTACATCAACCGTACTTACATTGACAAACCTAGCTGGCCCAAGAAGTAAACACATACAATCTTTTCTGGTCGACCACATTATACTGAAATCTCGTCCGCCTTCAAGAGCTCTTTCTTCTTCACTTGTGATAGGAACCAGAACCCCAGTGCAGAATCTGATTTCATCACCAGCTTGCCATTTTTTTGTTGCTATTATACATGCTTCTCGTTTGTCAGAACCAGAATAACGCGGCGTTTCTGCTATTTCACAACCTGCATTTGGTAAGTACATTTCGAAATATCTATTTGCATGTCTTCAGGACGAAAGGATGCAAAATCAATAAAAATTATTTATCGCAACGACGTGAAATAACCTAGATAATTACGATATGAATTCTCTTTCATTCTCAGCAGAAACACCAGCAGCTTCACGAACCGAAGGAATCCTAAAAGAAAAAAATAATAATAAAGTTAAGGTTAGATATTACGACTTACAGTAATAGTTCAAGTAGCATAAAATCAAATATTAGAATTACTATGTATGTATTAAGGAAAAGTATATATTAACGGGATATATTAACGGGTTTACGATGAAATTATATTTCTCCCTTTGAAAAAAAAAACTTTATTTACTTGAGCAACTCCCTCGCTGCGCTAGTAACTTTGTTAGGTTGGATGACATGGCGTTGAACGAGATCGACAAGAACATCTCGCAAAACACCCGTTTCGCTATAATTTGGATTTAGTTTAAACGTTTTGAACCATAGGTTGATTTTATCAATCAACAACTCGGTTAAAACGTCGTCAAACTGCTGGGGCATATCTGACCCCATCTTGACAAATATGAAATATAGGAAAGTAAGTAATAAGTTGTAAGAACGTTCGTTAAATATGGTGAGTGAACAATGTAAAAAGTAATGAATGAAAGAATGCTATACTACAAGAGAGTAGTACAAGCTTTGAATTATAACGAAGAAAAATTGCGATTTTAGTGCATTTTGGTATGGTGGCTCATGTTATATAAGCGGTACATTGTGCATTGTTTGTATCACCCATGATTTTATCCAATCACAGATAATTTATTCTAAATTTTATTGGTTAATAAACTAACAATATATCTGTCAATTTTTTGATTTTAACATTTTTCAAAACTAATAAACAACTTAGTCTTGACCCAATATAAAAAAATATATATGCACTACTGAGATAACTATAGTTTCATCATTATTCTCGTAGGTTACCCATCTTTTGAGAACTAGGTAATTAATTCCTCATTAAAGTTCGATGAATAACCAGTTTAATTGGTATTATTCTAGTAAAAATATGGCATCATTATTACTTTTACATTAGGAGCAAATCTGTAAATGATATTAAATAAATATTAAAAATTTTTAAAAAATTTTTAAATACTTGTGAGGTTCGAAATTCAGAAATAAGCCTAGTGCAGCAATGTCTCTTAAGTTCTGCAAAAAGTTGTTTTATAGGACTGATGCATGTTCTCGCAAAGAAGAAGAGAAGCTATCTGCTCTATAAACAATAATAACTGAATTATTATAAAAATCCTTTTATTTCCAATAAATTTTTGACATATTATAGTTAATGCCTTTTGCTTTTCAACATAATTATTAGGAATGAAAAACGTTCCTAAAAGTCGCAATAAATTTGCCAGTTTTAGAAAAGATTTTTATTTTACTGGCATTATATTTTAGTTTCTAATGATAATTTGTTAAATAAAAAAAATATTAAACTTATGCGGGAACCCAGAATCTTAATTTTTAAAACTTAGGACCTGGTCCTAAGGACCGGGTCTCACCTTGGCGGTCCTATGTTAATTGTCAATTCCAAAGTTCATATTTCTTTTATAAGTTATTCAAAAATTTATTATTACAATTATTTATCAAGGGTTACTTATTATAGATAAGCGATCAGACTTTTCTATAACTCGTAATTTCAATATTTGTTTACAATCATTTGGGACTGTTTAACATCCCTAATAATTATCAAATTTAATCCGTTAAAATCTTTTAGCATCATAATAAGTATGAAATACATTATAATTTGGTGAATATATTATGAATGACCAATATAATGAGCTTTTGAAAATATGTGAGAAGTAGGAAGATTGTTGAGAATGTTTTGAATATTATGTGTCTAATATAAAATAACCAATAAATTAGTATACTAAAAAACAATAAATAATAATATTAATAATTATAATATATCTTTTTAACCACTTTTTGTTTACCATATGATAATATTGTTTTGTACTAATTTGTATAACCCTTTCATTATCATCAACAGTTGCATATAGATTCTTCCTACCCAGATCAAGTCCAATAACTGATTTTCAGTTAAATTTACAATATTATAATTATCATTATTCCTTTTATCTCATTTTTTTGTTTAATGAAATATAAATACCAATTAAATCTGTTTCAATATAATATCGAAACCTTTCACTATATTTTTGTAAATTAAAAATCTGAGCCCAATTACTTTTTGCAAAATCTCCAAATTGTGTTTTTGAAATTTCTACAACTAGATTATTACCAACATGCTTTAATATATCATATAAATGATTTGTTTCAATAAGTATATAACAAGTTCTATAATTACGTTATGAAACAATATCAAATAAATAAAGACTTTTAACATTTAGATAATATACTTGATAATCAGTTTTCTAGTTAAAATAAGTATTATCAAAGCTATACATGAAGTCGAAATGAAAACCCAAAAAGTCGAAATGTTTCGACTTTGGAGGTCAAAGTCGAAATGAAAAGTC